GGATCATCCCAAGGCCGAATAGAAGAGCCATCTCCAACCCTCTTCACTAACCCCAGTTTTAGTACCTCTCTGCCATGGAGTATTGCCCTCCAAATGTGTGATGACCCTCTCTTGTTCTTGGCTAACATAAAGTCATGATCATGAAAATACTTGCCTTTAAGAACTCTAGCACACAACGATTTTGGTGTGGTAATCAACCTCCAGCCCTGTTTTGCAAGCATAGCTTGATTAAACATTTCAAAATCCCTAAAGCCCATGCCTCCATCTCCTTTTCGTATAGCTATATCTCTCCATTTTTTCCAATGAAGCTTCCTTCGGCTTTCATCTCCACCCCAGAAGAATCGAGCCACTATAACAGTCAACTTTTTACATAGTTTTTTGGACAACCTGAAACAACTCATGGAATATGTGGGAATTGCCTGACAAACCGCTTTGATCAAAACTTCCCTTGTTGCGGTGCTCAGAAGTTTGGGAACATACCCATTTACTAGTTTACGGATACTGGTGGCAATGTGTTCGAATTGAACATCGGAAGAGCGACCAATGGCCGTTGGCAGCCCCAAATACTTCTCAACAAGAGCTTCCGTCTCAATCTCAGTTTGCTCACGGACCACCGCTTTCATCTCGTCGGAACAATTGGCACTGAAAAATATGGCAGACTTCGCTCGGTTCACCATTTGGCCTGAAGCTTCTCGATAGACGTTTAGAGTGTTATGCAATCTGGTAGCTGCCTCAGAAGATGCCTGTGTAAACACCAGACAATCATCTGCAAACAACAAGTGGGACACCCATGGAGCATGTATTCCAACTCTAACACCTCGGGATAGCTGGTCTGGGCCACGGAATTTCAACAAACTACTCAACCCTTCCGCACATATGAGAAATAGATACGGTGAGATGGGATCGCCCTGCCTGATGCCTTTGGTAGGTCTGAAAGATTCTGAGAATTGCCCATTAACTCGAATTGAAAAAGACACAGTCTGAACGCATACCATTACCCGGTCGATCAACTCAGCAGCAAACCCAAGTTTCTCCACAATCGCACGCAAGTATGTCCATTCCACCCTATCGTACGCCTTAGCCATATCAAGCTTCACTGCCATATCTCCAGACTTGCCCTTCTTTTTCTTAAGATAATGAATGCACTCATATGCCGTTAGGACGTTGTCCGAAATCAGCCGGCCCGGGACAAATGCTGACTGCTCTTCTGCAATGATATCATCCAGTACTGGTCTCAATCGTAGAGCAAGGACTTTTGAAGCTAGCTTATAGAGCACATTACACAAGGAGATCGGTCTGTACTGTGTTAAATCTTGCGGATTTTTGATTTTAGAAATAAGAACCAACACAGTACTGTTCACAATCTCCGGCATTTCTCCTCCCTCAAGGAAAGTTTGCCGTTGTTTGCTTTGCCGCTTCTACATTTGGTTTGTTTTTTATCAACCAACTGTCTGTCGGGCAGCAGGGATTGGCTGTTTTGCTTTTGCCGTTGATGTGTGCATGCAAGGCGCAGTTTTTGAGGGATGTCATGACCACATGCATGTATCTTCTAGGATTCTCTCCGGCCGCTTAAGCTAGGCGATTTCATTTTCTTTTCTTTTTTTAATGCGTGCATGGGTTGGTAATTGTTGGTATCGACACATCATGGTATTACGTGTGTGCTTTACCAAGTTCCCGCTTAATCTGTAGTTTCTCGATCACTGCATGTGTTTGCTTTTTAGACTAATCATGCGTGTATAAATAGGAGTAAGCTTTGTTCCCGTTTACGACCAAGTAAGACAACCTCGCACACGGCTCTCCTTTCCTCTTCCTCCTCTCTCCTGTTTCTTTCCCAACGTACACCGGCCAAACCATCCGTCGACAACTTCATCGAAGCCAAGGAGGTGAGCCAGAGAAACAACCCCGTCGAGGGGGACCCGGACTTGCTCTCATGGTTCATGGCGGTCATGGGCGAGGATGATGGACGCAGCAAGCTCCCCGCCGTGTTCCCCATGCCGGAGGCAAAGTGCCGGTTCCCGCGGGATGTGGTTGTCAGCTTCATTCTGGTCGTTGAGTATACGACAACCTTGGCCCTGACATGGTTCTTCTGGATCCTCACGGCGAACCAGTGGCGCGAGTAGCATGTCCACTACGACGTCTCGCGTTCGCCGAATGGCAACGTGTAAAGTATGCAGTACCTGCACGCCGCTATCATTGAGGCGATGTGCCTGTGCCCGTCGGTTACCTTCAACGGGAGGGTCGCCTATTATTCGGCGTACAAGCGGATGGAGAATATCGGCCCGGAGCACTCGCTCGGTAACGGCGGCAAGTTTGTGGCGCGGTACCCGGTGTGCCACGCAAGGCCGCGTGCATGCTTCGGGAAGGAGATGGCCTACGTGCAGACGAAGACGGTCGTAAACTCACAGCAGCCGTTATCCGGAAGTTCAGGTTGAACGCGGTGGCGCTATTTGTTTGTTAATATGTATACAAGAACTAAACATCTTCACATCAGTTAATGATCAGCTAGAAACGGTTCGTTTTAGCAGACAAAAATTGAAGAAGATGCTTAATATTCCACCCGTTAATGATCAGCTAAAAACAGAAGGTTTTAGCAGAAAAAGTGAAGAAGATAGTTAAGGTGCAAGGGACTGCTTGCTCCCAGAGGCGGTTTCACTATTTTCAGATTAGATAAGCCAAGGTTGTTTCTAGATCATAGTAGGCGAAATACTATTGTGGATTTAGATACATTTTTTAGATGTGGATTGGAGGTTGGTGTGATACTCATGTCTTCTCTGATTGGGATGCAAGTTCAAGTGGAGTCATCTTTTATATCTTTTTATGTTCATTTCGTGTGCATGGTGAAGACATTTTATTGTATTTCAGAACACACCTTTTTGTGAAATAAGACACTGTGTGAAGCCAGAGGCGATACATACGAGTCATAATGCAGGTTTTGGTTTCCAGATTGCCACATGTTCTTTGAAATTCCATAGTAAATTTGAAAATTATACTCTAAATTAAATCGGTTTGGAGATTTGACTGTTATGAAATGGTATGCAAAAAGTATATTAGATGCTATTTTTTATATGCAGTAGTGCTTATTCGGGCATGGGCACCTCCTCAATATCCACCTCTCCATTTGCTGCATCGTTCAAAAGATGTCCTCCTCCCCTTTTGATATGATCTTTTTTTTGAGTTGTTTTTGCTACAGGGATAGTGCCCTTTTTGTACAAGAACTGATGGTTAGTGCTCACTGATCCACAATCTTATGATCTGCAATTTCTTCATGAAGCTCAAAGGTCCCATGTCTTCATTTTCAACATGGATCAACGAGTACCACCCAGTAAAATTTTCTGTTCTCTACATATTCCTTGTTTTTGCCTTTGCTACTTTTATGACTTCAGATCTTATGATTGTTCTGTATTTTGTTTGTCTTATTGACAATGAGTTTTCCTTGGAAAATTCCTTCTGTTTTGCAATGTTTTATTGTCAAATTTTTATTTAAATATTTTGAATGTACACGGTATTATTATTAATGCTCATGCTTTAAAAGATATACAACTAGCGAAGTTTTTATTTTCAGAAATTTGCTTCTAACTGAAATGAACAGCATAAGTGAACAGTTTGGCAGATTATAGTGGCCAAGATTGTTTTGCACGATTTCAGTGGCAAATTTTAGAAATTTGCAGATTTTCTTGACAAAAAATTTACCCATTTGAATTGTTTAGTCCAAGGAGCATGGCACCATGGTCAGGCGCAGCATTAGCAGGTGCGATGCCATACATCTAACCAACCCCTTCTGAATCGTCTAAGACATAAACAAAGACACTACATCAATAGAGAAATATCTCTATATATACAATATAGAATAACATAAACTATCATCTATAAGCAGACACTACTACCACGTTAGGAAAAAAAAGATGTTTCTCAAGGGCAATGTATCAATACATAAGTATTGGTGGGGCGCGGCGTGCCGCTGCGCGGGTATGGCTAGTACCATACAAAGATTGTTGTACACTCCGGAGTCTGAAGATTGCTCCAACTGGGTGTATGGTCCTGATAATTCCTGAGCGGCCTCCTTCGAGGACAACCACTTTCCGCGGCACGTTGTTTACACAATCGTTTCTGAAGCATTCTAATGATTAACACTGCCATGCTTCCACCTTTTTGGTAAAATTTATATATGTTTTTGTTGGCCGCCTCCTTTGCTCTCTCACTGCTTTAGTAGATTCAGTATGCGCCGCGGCTGCTCGACGAAATGGACACACAGGCCAACAAGAACAAGGGAAAAACAGGGCAACAAGACTTGGGTGTGTTCTAGGCATCAAATGCCCTTCTTTCTTTCACTGAACCGGCAACACACACCTTCTCTTCTCATTTGATGTACACACTCGGTGCACCCACTAAGTGAATTGATGACAGAAAACACATTTGCACACTCAACTGTTTATACTCCAACAAGGTTTACTCTACCAGTTTCAGCTCTGTAAACATGAAGGTCGTCAATATTCAGAAGAGAGCAAGATAGAAGTCACATCAGAGAGCCAATACAACGCCGCACCCATGGAAAAATTAGTCGAAACGCCAACTCGTCAGGACGGAAGAGAAATGTTAATTAACCATGAAACAGGTAGGATGCCAAAATATCAGGGGTTAAAACAGAGCAAAAACTGGTCAGAAATGACACCAAGGGCAGGCATGTAAAATGTCCAGCGGTCCAACACAGATGATCATAGAACCACACACATCATGCAAACAGAACTCAACTGACAACATTGACGTACTTATAAAAAATATAATATCACAGACAATATACCTAGAAATTATTTCTTGACTCCTTGTGAATATAAGAACATCAAACAAGTCCAGAACACCATCTCATATACTCCCTCCGTTCCAAAATAAGTGTCTCAACTTTGTACTAACTTTAGTACAAAGTTGAGACACTTATTTTGGAACGGAGGGAGTACATAACTCTATCTGCTAGGATGAAGACATATTATCTCTTCTTTAGGCCATTAGGTAACATCATTGGATGAACCAACGATGGCGAGATCTGCCTTAACAAGGCATCTGGATCCCACAACATAGCCTGCCGACGGGTCCTTGAGTTTCTTGAGCCCAGTGAAGTTAGGCCATCCCCAACTATGTCCACATACCCAGAGACCTGCGATCACCATAAAAGTAAGATCAACTGTAATCATGAGGTTACATACTCTAGCTGCTTGAATAAGGAGAGCTGAACCTGAAGTTCTAGTCCAGTATTTCCCATTCTTTTGGTTCAAGATGGAGAGTGTCATTTCAACCACCTTCCCAGACTCTGAAGGTACCTCATCCGAGGTATCCACGAATAAGTACAAGCTGAGGCAATCAGTGCTGTACTTGTCACCACGCGGATACATGCCGATATACCTATTGGCAAGAATGGGAAGTGACACTTAAAATATAATTTGCTGCTTGGGAAAATGTATATCAAGAATGTGATTGGTTACTGAAATCAGAAACTTCGGACACAACTTGGTGGCATTACAATTGTACAAAAAATCTAAGCAAAGCATGACTGCAGTACAAGATATTACAATGTTACGTGAAAACAATCTGAGAAAATAATCGATAGTATCTGACAGATACAAGAACCGTTTGTACCAAATATATACTCCCTCTGGCCCAAAATAAGTGTCACAACTTTAGTACAACTTTGTACGTACTAAAGTTAGTAGAAAGTTGAGACACTTTTTTTGGGATGGAGGGAGTACATGATAAGGAAATTACTAGATTTATTTCGTCCTAAACAACATAGATTTTTTTAGTACTACATTGTTTCTAATTTGTTCCTGAATTTTCCGTACACCATGCAAAACCCCCTTTGTATTGAAATTGGAATGTGCTACCATATCTGTAAATATCTTGGTTGCATGCTTAGAGAACAAGCTCAAATATCCAGTTGGAATATCTGAAGGACTGGTAAAATAAAATGTTGTATAACACATGCATATTATTTATATAAATCATTTGTCATGTAACTACCCAGATGTATACCATTTATGTCCGCCAACTTCAAATGTAGGAGAACGGACGAAGTGCTTCAAGTCCAATTCAAGGAAATTGTTCATGGTCCAAGTGTATGTCCCTTTAATGAACCCCTTCTTCTGGACAAATAGATTCTGAACTGTGGTAGCCTTCTTCTGAACCACAACAGCTTTCTTTTCAGGAGAAGAGACATCAATTTTTAATATCTTCACACCAAAGACACAGCTATCATCAACTAGAAAAGCAGATGATTTCAGTAGCTCTTGAAGAGGAATCAAGCAATGCTGCTCCGAGTAGGCATTCTTGAAATCAAAATTGTAGCTAGCTGCATTTAGGTAAAGGTTAGAACTTAAGAGATTAGAGAACGAAGGAGTTGTAGCTTGCTGTGTTATAGGTAAAAGTTAGAAAATTAGAGAAAGAAAAACTTGTGTAAAATGAAAATATCCCAAATGACATATATATAATCAATTTTTCAGTGAAAAAAAAGAGCATATAGTCAGCCTTCACCCTAGTTATCAGATCAAAGTAGTTAAATCCATAGAAAAAATCAAAGTGAAAGAGTACATGAACGTTGTTAGAATTAGAAGAGTCTAAGTGTGACACACAGTACAGAAGGTCGACGGACAAACTTAATTGCGAAGAAAATATCAAGCAACTTGTTCATGGGAAAAGTAATTGGATGGATGTAGTTGAAAAAACACGTTCACGAGTACCTTTGCATCCACAATACTTTTCTTTTGAATGGTTGAATATTGACAACTCGAACACTGCATGCACAATGTGACCTAGCTCCAAGCATGCGTGGGCTATCTTAAGAGAAAGAGCCACGTATGGATTTCCCTTAACATCTTGCTTGTGCTTTGGAGTCACTTGCAGGAGCCTGGGATGGGGATTGAAGGAAACCAAGTAAGTCTACAAGTCATAACTGAATCAAGCCTAATATTTTCACTTCATGCATTTTATATATCCAGCTTCATTATCTGGCTGTTTTATGGGTTTGTGAGGGAAGGGGAGCCTTGGCGCAGTGGTAAAGCTGCTGCCTTGTGACCATGAGGTCATGGGTTCAAGTCCTGGAAACAGCCTCTTACAGAAATGTAGGGAAAGGCTGCGTACTATAGACCCAAAGTGGTCGGACCCTTCCCTGGACCCTGCGCAAGCGGGAGCTACATGCACCAGGTTGCCCTTTATGGGTTTGTGAGATTGTGAATTTGTGGTTACTATGTCAACCTGACCAAAACATGATTTCTGGGCAATCAACACCCTAAATTACCAGGTATTTTTGGTAACAGACAGTTGCTTTATCCACTAGAAAAAAACAGATGATATTTATACATCTAATACATTGATTAAAGTTGCTACTGTGATTATGACGCGTACCACTTGTATCCAGAGCAGTCAAAAGCAGCAGAGAACGCTGAGGTAGCCTTCATCTCAAGTAGCGCTGAGAAGTCATGGACCTTCCATTTGAAATGTGGAACATGGGTCTTTCCTAAGCTTGCAGGAGCTGAAGTTTCGACAGAAGGAGGCAAAACAACTCAAAATTATGTTCATCCTTGGGAAAATGGAAGGTTGCAGAATAGTTCTCAAGTTATGTTGAGTTTATATGAACGAAAATCTTGCATACAGTGATTTGTGACAAGCAACCACTAATACAATGCAGTACTGTAGTAGTTATCATGTCACCAGGCAGGGATACAAAGGACAGAGCATGCGCTAGCTTTTTATTATTATTATTGTTTTTAATACAAGAGGGCCACTTTTCCATGTATAAGTAGCAGTAGTATCTACTATTGGTTCTGATGAATAAGCATTAGGACCAGCAATGTGATGCATTCAGAGGGATTCAGTTCATCAACATCCATGATGCTGAGGGCAAGAGCTTTCTCAATTTAAAGTTATTTGTAACCTGACTTTGGAGCTACACATGCTGTCTGAAGTTGAATTGGGCGGACAAACATACCTGTGCTCCCGGAGTTGCCCATATATAGCTCTGCCCCTTCCTCTTCTTTCCTCTTGGTCTGCAAGTGAAATTAATCATGGCGCCTTTAGCAAGGGCATAGTGGATAAGATGTCTGATATTGGTAAAGATACCTATATCTTATCAAAACAGTAACCAGACAGCAGGCATACAAAAACCAATTTATGCATATTATTATTGCCACGACGTGGAATTATGACGTACGGTTTGCGAGAATGTTAAACCCTAAATCGGAGAGATCAAAGGGTCTAAGGGAACACGCCACAAGTCGGGAGATTAGAAAGAAGGGACCCCGGTTCTTTCTCAAACGATGGCCAAGAAATCCAATACCAAGTCGCGTTAGCCTTCGTCGTCGGAACCTTCTAATCTAATCTAGAACGCGAAAACATAACGAGGAGGGAGGAGAAAGACCTGGATTTGGGCGCAGATTGCACAAGGCTGACTTCCTCGGACGGCGTTTGTTGGAGTGACGGGGGGTTTATGCTTTTATGGAGGCTGCCTATCCTAACCAAAACTCGTGGGTCGCGGCAAGTGATTTCTGGTAACCGGAAGATTCCGCGATTTTAGGAAACGGGTATACTACAACGCTAACCAATCAATTACTACTATATATACTGTTTTTTTTTGCATGGTAATATGTATCTCGTTCATATAAAAAAGATTAACGTACAAATCATATAAAGACCGACATGACAAAACTGAAAAGATAGCAGAACATCTCCGAGCTTGACACCAACGCCGTCACCTGCCTCTGGCACCACCACAACAGCCACCGAAAAAAAAGAATGACAGATCACCTTCTCATCCGAGCTCGACGCGGCTCCATCGCTGATATGCAGCTTTGCGAAACTTCAAGGTGGCTCGCAAAAGGAGAAATCATTACCGTTGAACGAATCAGACAGGAGCAACACCCCGGACACACCATCGAACTCCAGATCTTGCACTCCCACATGATAAAGACGTTGGCGGAGGAAACCATACATGCCATCCATGAACCACGAGCCCAGCACACGTTTCGTCTTCCAGATGTCGTGCAGACCACAATCTGCATCCGCTCCTCAACTACCTCTCAAGCTCTGCGCCGACGTTGGAGCAAACGTCATCGCAATGGCGGAGCCCGAGTACACATGTCCACCGCGAGGATGCTGCCACCGCCACGACATCCCCGCTTGAACAGACTGGTTCCCAGATCCTTCACTGACCATAGAGACGATCGCCTCGCCGGAGAAGAATACGGAGCTTCTTTATTCAACATCTTCGTCACCGTCGCCGAAGCCAAGACGTAGAACGATTCAAAACCCTATACTTCTTGGGCCCTAAAACCTAAAGCTAAAACGATCCACACGCGTAGGATCCGGTGAACCCCCTCACCACCGACGACCAAAAGGTCGCCGGCGGAGGAGAGCCGCCGGAAGACGATGTGGGAAGGAGCGGCTCCCCTGGTGGCGATGGCTAGGTTTCGCTATCAGGAGGAAATTACTATTTGACAACATATACTTTCCCTGTCATTCATGTTTCCGTATCCATTTGCGGGAAGGAAACTTTTTTTCTGAGAAATTTTGCAGGGAGGAACTAAAAAGCTCATAACCCTAATAGTATCACACGTGTGGCACGAACACATGGTAATTCCAAATGTTTTTTGTGGCAAGTATAGTGACGCGAGGATGACAACTTTAGTTGTCAAGCATGGCAATTTTCTTTTCGTATGCCAAGTTTCAATTTATTTCTTGGTTTGCTTTTTCTTTTCGGATGTCAACTTTAGTTGTAAAATAGTCAGGACCAGATTGCTTCATGTCACACATGTGACACTTATCGTTTGGGAAAGCTTAAAGGTTTGCTCTGTATCTTAAACGCCACCCTCAAGAATAATTATTCTTACTAACTCTGTTGAAATATGTATGGGCTTTAGGCCCATGAAAAAGTTTCAGGAAAAATCTCTAAGGGCCCATGTAGGTGTCATGACAAGGTGGTTGAGCTTTCTCAAAAAAAAAGACAAGGTGGTTGAAAATTTGATCCCACCTCATTTTTGGTAAAACAATGTCTCACCTCATTTGTAGAGGAGAGTGGAGACTCATTTAGAAGAGCAACCCCAACGTGCCAATCCAACTTGTCTGCGTGTGTCTGTTTTGGTTGAAGCGGACACAATTTGCGGCCCAACGCGCCGAAGCAAACGGACAAGCGTCCGCTTTTTGTCCGCGCGTGGCCCATTTCAGGCCCACATTTGGGCCGGGTTTGCATCGGCGTAGGCATGCAATGGACGCGCGCGACGCCAGCTCTTGTCTTCCCCTTGGCCCGACAGTCGGTGGCGCATCCACCCCCATTTCCCTCTCTTCCCCAAAAAATCCCCTGCCCGCCCGCTCGCCATGGACGAAGCGCCCAACCACGACGCCGCCGCCGGCATCGCCTCGCGCCCGTGAAAAGGCGGTGGCGCCCAAGCTGAAGAAGGTGCTGACCGACACGCACCAGGCTGTTCAGTCGGCCTAGAGGCAAGGCCGGAGGGAGGTGGCACCCAGCAAGCTGGAAGTCGCCGCCGCACAACAAGAGGCCACCATCATGGAGAACAACCGCCTCGTCACTGCGTCCACTAAGCAGGCACTACTCTACCTAGGGTTTGACAACCACGGATAGCACGGACTCGTCGCTGTCGCCATGGCCGTGGCCAGCATGGGCTCGTCGGCTGTTCGTCCGCCACGGCCAGAGTCGCCGCGCACGTCCACCACGTTGCAGACGCCACCTCCAACTACTTCCCTGTGACCATCGCCCGCGCCTTCCTCTGCATCCAACGTCGTCGGCGTCTCCATCTAACTCATCGTCTGCCTTTGCCTGCGCCATTGTCCTCATCGTGCTCGTCGTCCGACTCCGCCCCGGTAAGCACACCTTCCTTCTCTCTGTTAATGGAAATTATAGTTGTTCTCATTATTGTACTTGTACGTTAGCAACATTTTGTTAGTGTAGTTAAAATTTGTTATATGATATACCATTGTATCTTTGTAATTAGACGTCTTAAATTTGATTGCTTGTGCTAGATGACTATGTACTGCATATGGATCAACATATAGTATCATATTTTATTATGATGCAGGTATTCAAAATGAGTGCCAGTGTTTTTGCGAAACGTGGATTAAGTTCCCTTTTCGCTTGAATTCTAGCACTCAATATGTCCAATTTCTAGCGAAGGTCATGCCAATTTTTTCCATAAATTTATTACTTTTATGGACGAGCAACTTAATTATATTTTCCGTCAGGTGGACAATACTCACTCTTAATCCACAAACTGAGATGAGAGTTGTTCTGAGAGAAGGACACCGACTATTGTCGGAGGGGGTCGTCCTTCTTCTTCTCTTCCTCTTAGACTTTGGTAAAGCAGGAGGAGAAGATGAAGGACGACCATCATCGGCAGTCATAAATACAGTGAGTGAGTGTACACCATATATACAACCACTTGTGAGATGAACCGACTGTTGTCGTAGGGGGTCGTTCCTCTTCCTCTTCTTCCTCAAAGACCTTGGTAAAGTAGGAGGAGAGGGGGAAGAATGACCATCACCGACAGTCAAAGTATCCAACATAAGAGCGAGAAATGTTCACCCGAAGGACAAATATGGAGTGCCGTCGTAACAGTTCTATATTCTTTTAGTGTCATAAATCCGCTTTCATAAAAATGTCTTTTATCTAAATGTCAACTTGTTTAATGCAATTTAGATGGAGAAACCGAGACGCCTCGTTAGGACTCCTATAGCCGTAGACGGAACTCCTACTATCGTACACATTGTCAGGTGGCTCAGTACATGGAGATCGTGCTCGTCTATGCTGAGAGCGGTCGAGCAGCCACCAAGAGCACTTATGCATACGTCGAAAGCGCTGCAGCATATGCCGAGAGCGCGAGAACAGCCGTTGAGAGCACTAGAGCAGCTGTCGAGACTGCACGAGCAGCCGCCGAGAGTGCACGAGCAGCCGACGAAGCTGCGAGAACCGCCCAAGCCGATATCACAAAGATGGTGGAAGGTGAGGAGAGCTCATGATGGAGCTGAACTTTACCTCTGAAAAACTAGTGCACTGCCTTTATGTGATCTATAAGATCGATGCGTGTGAACTTAATTTCTATGTTGCTATGATGGAGCTAAACTTTTGCTTCCCAAGTAGTATAGTGAACCACAACGTGGTCATTTGTATCGTCGATGCTTCTAAACGTATTTTCTATGATGCTATGAAGATTGGTATATGACTTTGCTTTATGTGATTGCATAATTATAAAATTGACTTGTTAGCCTGTTTATTTATCTTCATATGGAATTGGTATGTGTGTGCAACAGAAATAATCTAGGAATTTATGATTCATGAGAGAAATGCAATGAACAAGTGGACGGTTACAAGAACAACTGTTATAAAGGATACATGACTAAAAAAAAGCAGATGATCGTTACGCCAACTTCGTCCGCAGAGAGAAAATCAACTATGAAGTATGCAAGACCATGTGAACAAGTGGACGAGTAAAGAACTTGATTATCTTTATCAAGTTCATTGTCATTATGGTGTTGTTGTTATCATGAAGTCTAGTAGTATGCACGCAACATGTCTTAGGCTTCGATGAGAATGCTATGGGTACTAATGATGTTACATGAGTTATACCCTAATGTGTACATCTATTTGTATTGCATTTGGATTATTATTATGTTAAATGTAATGTGTATAATCGCATACGTTAGTTGCTATTACTGTTTATTGTCAGGTTTGTGTTGGCGGCTGAACATGTAGGGTTTCGTTTGGGAGCAAAAGTATTTTTGTAGTTTTTTTTAGGAATACTATGTTTTCTGGAAAAAAAAACCATGGTATTCAATACTTTGAAGTTGTGGCGGGTGCCTCAGATTGCCCACTACAACTAACAAATAAACTATAGTGGCGGGTGGCAAGACATGCCCGCCACTGCAGAGACTCTACTAGTGCGGACACCACTAATGTCATTATAGCAGTGACGGGAGGTTAATGACGGGCGCCCCTGAAAGCCTC